ATTTAATCAGAAACACAGTCTAAATATTATTTGTGTATTTTGCTTTCATTGTATTAGAAGTAGGCCAACAGCGCCCCCTACGGAATTAAAACTCTTTACCGAACGAGCTTTAGGACCCGGGGGAGGCTGCCGCTGCACGTGTTATTACTGTTTACTCTATCACACACTAAACACGTCATTCTGTACCTGCTTTATCAGTTTAAATGCAGCGATCCAAAACCGTGAATCTATTCATCATTCAGGCAAAACTTTGCTTCAGGAATGATTTGCTGACGTGATCTAATCGCTAGCACAACCTGAGCACAAGTGAGTTAATGTATTCCTCTTATCGGCAAGACATAACGGCATAATTTTTCATATCGGGCCGATATTTACATTTAAAGCCATTATCGGCCGATATTGGTCCGATAATATCGTGCATCCCTAGTCAGAATAACATGAGTTTAACAAATTAAGAGGGATTCGTGATGTCAGCCAAAAAGGAAAATGTAATGTGTAATGATGAATCACGATCTACCAAAAATTGCCTTATGATGGAGGAACACAAACAGTACAGTGTTTGTACAGTAATGGCTCATCCAGCAATCTTGTCTCTCAAAGGAAAGCAACAAAATCCCCTACTGGTCTAAAGTGGCTGCGCTTGTTAGTCTGGAATGTAATTATGTAACTCTGGGTGTACTGAGGTCTCAGCTTGCAGTCTGAGCTTACCTTTGTCGATGTTGGCAGGTGACATGGTATTCAGGTCCTGAAACTGCGATAGATGGAGCAGCACAAAGAAATGGCGATTAGAGAGAGAGACTGACTTCATGGCTCTTTACAGCTCAGGCTGAGCTACACAAACAGTCCTTACCTCTCCCATAACTCTGATGGGCGTCTCTCCTGTGGCCTGTGCGACGCGGTGCTCCACCAGATAGAACATGTACTCGTCGTACAGCAGCCGGATCAAGTGGAAAGAGCCGAAACTCGCAGCACTGCGAAGGGTCAAGTCTCTGATGACCATAGAGCTATAAGAGACCGACAAAACATGCAAGTAAAAAGTACATTTACATTTAATCATTTAGCAGACACTTTTATCCAAATGATGACAATAGAAGCAATCAAAACCAACAAAAGAGCAATGATATGCAAGTGCTATAAGTGTCTGTTAGCCTAACGCAGTACACATCGCAATGTTTATATATATATTTATACTACACGGCCGTTGAATGCTGGAATCTGATTGGCTGATGAACATTCGAAGGTGTGCAATTATTTTCAGGGAAACGCACGGCGAATGTAGTTCCAGGCAGCTCTGACCGCATTACACGACCATATCACTCCGCCAAATTATTTCTGTTATTTCAAAGGTCTTAACAGCAAAATATCCAAAATCCACGACGACACCAGCCAAACAAATCAATATAGTAAGCAATATGATAAAAACAACAGATTAGGGATGCACTGAATATTCGGCAACCGAAATTATTCGGCCGAAAATAGCAAAAAAAAATATTTAGGTGTTCGGCCGAATAAGCGAAAAGGCCGAATAATATGAACCAAACAACGACGAACGCGATCAAATAGATGCACGCGCTAATGCAGCAAACATGTCGACAGTGTGAAAGTATTTAAAACTATCAGAGAAAGACGCAGAAATCATTACAAGCGTGAAGCACCGACAGCGAGAGACTGTTTAGTGCTGCATCAAGTCTGAGATGAGAAGAAGAGGTGGCTAATGCTGGTGGTTAGGTTACTGTATGATGATTGAAATCGCGAAATTACCTCAAACGATTAGTAAATAAACTGCAGAATGTTATATTTTCTAATGCACGCACGAATTGCATGTATTCTGACGGCGCTGCACGAGCTCGCGGCGTCAGGGTTCAAAGTCCAAAGCGCGAGGAAAATCTGTGCTGGACTTGTTACTCGTCAGTTGCTCAGAAATCTGCGCTGAAACTGTTACTCGTCAGTTGCTTAGTAACATTTTTGTGAATTTTTTAAAGGCATGTGACAATGTGATGCATGCGACAAACATCTTCCCAAATTCATAATGAGAATCATTTATAAATCTGCATGCTGTTGTCAACAAAAAGAAGCACTGAGATCTTCCTGCGGGTTTCTGCCAAAATAAAAGCCGAGAAAAAGCAACAACTCCATCGACATTTATAAGTATTGTAATTTTACTGCCGTTATGTAAAATAAAATAAAAAGTAAGACAATAATAATGATAATAATAATTACCCTACAACAGCTCTGTTAATACATTTATTATAACATTCACACATAGTGTTCAAATTGGGATCTGTAATATATTCTAATGTTTTAAAAGAAGTCTCTTCTGCTCAGCAAGGCTGCCTTTATTTGTACAGTAAAAAAATACATGCCTGATTCAAGTCTCAAAAATGGCCAAAAAATATTATTTTACTAACTTAATAATTTTAAGCTAAATTGTGCTTTGTTGGTATAACGTCTGCTAGAATGTTAAAAAAATGTTAAGTAAATATTTTTTAATTGTTTTGTAATTGATTTTTTTATTTGAAAAGCAGGACAAAACAGTAAAAAGCATATTTTGGCAATTGAATTAATGCAATTGTGAAAAAAAATGGCAAAATAGGTCTACATGGGGGGAAAAAATGTGAAAAAACCGTGTTCGGTATTCGGCCTACGGCCCAGCGTTTCATTTTGTTCGGCTTCGGCCTAGAATTTTCATTTCGGTGCATCCCTACAACAGATCATTTTCCATGTTTTTGCCACAAAATTATGTTTTATGTACGGAAAGCACATACTCTATCTCTCTCTCACAGACGCACATACACTTTGCACATACGTTAACATACGCGCTCATGTTGTAACTCCGCTACTCCGACGATTTTATCAGTAACAGTAAGTTTAACAACTTACAAACTACGACTTCTCACATGCGAGGTAACAACGGGGCTGTTCGTGAAGAAAATTAACTTAAAGAGACATTAACCGAACACTTTTGAGAGACGCACAAACTCACACATGCTCTCTCTCTCTCTCTGTCTGTCTCGAATAACTTCGTTATTATCTGCATTAATCTGCTGTTCCGCTTCGTCAACTATTCCTTACATATACATAACAAAAAGAAAACAAGTAGATAAAATAGAAAAAGAATAGAGAAGGCTCGTGTTAGAAAACCAGAAAAAAAAGAGAGTGTTAAAAGTCTGTGAAAATGATTTTGTAATCACAATAAATCGACGTTGACTTGCAGAACGCAAGCTTCTAGAGGCACATAACTCTGAAGTAATGAATTTAGGTAAAGGGGTGCAGAGCCAATGCTGGTTTTGTAGGCAAACATTAATGAGTAAAAAAAAAAAAGTAGAGTTGACACTTTGCTCTTAAAGGAGTAGTTCACTTCCAGAAGAAAAAATTCCTGATAATTTACTCGCCCCCATGTCATCCAAGATGTTCATGTCTTTCTGTCTTCTGTCGAAAAGAAATTATGGTTTTTGAGGAAAACATTCCAGGATTTTTCTCCATATAGTGGACTTCAATGGGGTTGAAGGTCCAAAATGCAGTTTCAATGCAGCTTCAAAGAGCTCTACACAACCCCAGCCGAGGAATAAGGCTCTTATCTAGCAAAACGATCAGTCATATTCTAAAAAAAAATTTAATGTGTATATAATTTTCAACCACAAATGCTCATCTTGCAATAGTTTGACCTCATGTATTACGTAATTACGCATGCAGGCGGAAATACCGACCCAGTGCTTACAAAGCGAATGTGCAAAGAAAGTCAAAAAAGGTCAAACAATGATGACGGACTATTTTGAAGTTGGAGGAGAAAATGAGGTTGAGTTTTTAACCCTAGCCTACCTTTTTGAACCAAAGTACACAGACAAAGAGCGAACTATAAGTGATGTTTCCAACATGATTACGCAAAGCGTGAAGACGCGCATCCGCAAGCAGAGCTAGTGCAAGACGAGCAATTGTGGTCAAAGTATATACTTTTTTTTTTTTTTTTAATTAAGAAAATGACTGATCGTTTTGCTAGATAAGACCCTTATTCCTCGGCTGGGATCGTGTAGAGCCCTTTGAAGCTGCATTTTTAACCTTTGATCTGTTGAGCACCACTGAAGTCCACTCTATGTACAGTAGAAAAATCCTGGAACGTTTTCCTCAAATTAATTTATTTTCAACTGAAGAAAGAATGACATGAACATCTCAGATGAGTACATTTTCGGGAAATTTTTAGAAGTGAACCAATCCTTTCTGTGTGTGGGAGAGATTCTGGTGCGGACTTCAGTAAGATTGGTTCATTTGGTGGGTGGGATCATGGAGATTCCAGCATGTTTTGAACCCAAACAATCGAACCCAGTGTGAAAACAGCCTAAATGTCTTGCCTGTAGAAGGACCACTTGAGCAGGAACTGGCGTGCAGCTTTGGGGAGGGTGGGTTTATCCTCGTACGGCTTGAGCATTTGAGTGACCACGTTATCTAGCCAAGCTGCCCACTGTTCCAAGGAGCTCTGCTGCTGGAGGGTGGCCTTGAAGTCCTGCTCGAGGCGTTGAACCAAGCCCTCTTCACACTGGCACACCCACGATGCCTGCTCCTGTAGGTCGTCAACAACTAGTCAGAACATCACTACAGTGGATCTTCTAATTGACATTGTAAGGCTGGAACAGGCTACACGAATTTTGATTCTTGATTCACAGATTCTTGCTCCGATTTGTTGGCGATAGTTGCCAAAAGTCAGAGCCAGTCTGCAGATTTTGGGTAGTCGACAGTTGACAGATTTCACTGAAAACTGCATAGTGCATGATGGGCAAAGACTCAAACCTGCTTGAAATTTTGAGCTGATTTTAGAACACATTGTTTTCATTTGTTGTGCATCTCTTAGAAACAAGGTGGACGTTTCTGATTTTGCGTTTCTCAGTTGATAAATGACACGAAGGCCAAGTGTAGTAACCCTAGTGAAAAATAAATATAATTAAATGTAATACATTTTGTGCTAAGCATACTACAAATACATTTACATATTTGTGACCCTGGACCACAAAACCAGTCATAAGGGTCAATTTTTTGAAATTGTATGTACTTAATAAAAATACCCTGAAATTGTACTTTTAGTATAATAAACTGGTATAGTTAAAGTCTGCTAAATTGGAACAACTAATTTTTTTATGCACTTTAAGTAGTGCAACTAAAGATATACTGAAGTATATTTGATTGTGCTAAAATGAAACTATTGTAAGTATACTTCAGGTACACTTGAAATATCTTGCATTTAAAGACTGATATCATTCAAAGATCATACAATCCTCATTAATTTGTGACATTAAAACACATTTTAGGCTTAATATTAAGACATTTTCATTGTGCACAAGAAGAACTCTAAATAAAGTTTAAATATACTTTTTGTATAAGTAAGTCTTGAGCGATATGTCAGTAAATACGTGACCCTGCAGCACAAAAGCAGTCTTAAGTCGCTGGGGTATATTTGTAGCAATAGCCAACAATACATTGTATGGGTCAAAATTATACATTTTTCTTTTATGCCAAAAATCATTATGATATTAAGTAAAGATTATGTTCCATGAAGATATTTTGTAAATTTCCTACCGTAAATATATCAAAACTTAATGTTTGATTAGTAATATGCATTGCTAAGAACTTAATTTGAACAACTTTAAAGATGATTTTCTCGATATTTAGATTTTTTTGCGCCCTCAGATTCCAGATTTTCAAATAGTTGTATCTCAGCCAAATATTGTCCTATCCTAACAAACCATACATCAATGGACAGCTGATTAGCTTTCAGATGATGCATAACTCTCAATTTCCAAAAATTGACCCTTATGACAGGTTTTGTGCTCCAGGGTCACATATGTTAATAGATTTTAACTATATAGTATGAAATAAATGTATTTAAAATATAACTTTTTTTACTCTGTAATGCATACTTGGAATTTACCATTTACAAAGTCGGCGAGTGTGTGGTGCCTAGTGTTTTACGGCCTATTCAGATTTGAAAAGTTGTGTTGTGTATTCCAGGCCTTTACAAAAGAGTGCATGTTCAAAACTATGGAACAAAAGGCCGGCTTTCTCGGTCAAGAATGGATGCCACGAAGCGCAAAACATACCTGCACATTGGCAAAGTCAACCCGGTTGAGATCGCTGAGCATCTGGTTGATCTGGGAGGTGTTCTGCAGCACTGCACGAGCCGCCTGCGCCAGATGATTCAGAGACGTGTATCTGCGGAGCGTCTGAGCGAAGGCACTAACAGCGGAAACCTGCCAAACAAAGGATGAACTCTTTGGGATTTCTACAGCAGACGAAGGCTTTCATTATCAACTGGTAACCATCGACACTCTTACCTTGGTCTGGATCATTCTCTGGGCGATGCTGCTCATGGCGTTGGTGAGCCAGCCCTCAAGGCTTTTGGCAAAATTACGGATGGCTTGAGTCAAGGCACCTGTCGAACGCAGATGGAGATTTACATTTACACGGAATAGAGGACAGGCAAGATACACTACCAGTCAAAAGATTTTGGACAGTAAGATTTTTAATGTCTCTTCTGCATAACAAGCCTGCATTTATTTGATTCAAAGTACAGCAAAACAGTAAAATTGTGAAATATTTGTACTATTTAAAACAACTGCTTTCTATTTGAATATATTTTAAATTGTAATTTATTTATGTGATTTCAAAGCTGGATTTTTAGCATCATTGCTCCAGTCACATGATCCTTCAGAAATCATTCTAATATTCTGCTTTTATTATTATTATTATTATTGTGTTAAAAACAGAGTAGAATTTTTTCAGGTTTCTTTTATAAAAAGTTCAGCAGAACAGCATTTACCTGAAATATAATTTTTTTGTAACATTATAAATGTCTTTATCATCACTTTTGTTCAATTTAAAGCATCCTTGCTAAATAAAAAATAAATAAATATATATACTGACTCCAAACTTTTGGTATAGTCCATGGGTAATGTTACAAATGCTTTTTATTTCAGATAAATGCTGATCTTTGGATCTTTCTATTCATCAAAGAATCCTGAAAAAATGTACTC